GTATAACAACAAAGATAAGATAAATAAATAGAAAGGCATGTAATAATAAAACTTATTTACAAAAGTGATTGCTTTTTCTTCTGTTTCTCAAAATTAGGCAACAGTTTAGCGTTCACTATTTGAGAGAATCAAACTATTATTGATTGACTCGAGTACTGCTCCTTAGTCAAGTTTCCAGAATTAAGAGAAAAGGTATAATATTCCATCAAGATATTACTACAGCTTGGTAGGGAAGTTGTATTTGTCAAATATTGCACCTTCAAATTGTCATTTACTTTGGTCTTTACACAATTCTCTTAATGAAAAAAAGTTCAGTTCCCTTGTAGAAGATATTGGAATAAAATAGTAAATAAGTTGTTCAATTTTATATCAATAGTTGAAGTGGGAGGAAGCTTTTAATAAAACAAACATTTTGGTTAACTGAACATATTTTGTAATCAAAAAGTATTATTCCAATGAAATGGCAAATAAAATGAAGATCTTATGGTAATCTATAATTATTCCTGCTGTCATCTTTCCATGTACATTCATATCAGTCTGTTCCTCTTATTTATTGATCTATAGTAACTGCTTCTTCTTTTAGCCTCTAGGAACTATTGTTCAAACTTAATAGCTCTAAAATCTTTAGACTTTAACCTAAATAACCATTGGGGTTCACTAGTGTACTGGAGTGTTAAACTGTTTACCTCACCAAGCTTTAGCTATACATCTGTGTATAATGATCCCAGTACTTTCTTTGTGCAATTTTGTTGGCTTAACATTTTCTAAGAGACATATTCAAGAAATGTCAATAGAAATAGGTTGATGTTATCTGAAGCTTTCTTCTGAGCTGTCCTTAAAGAAATTTGCTCTTGCTGTCTTTTTTCAAATTGTCATGGTTTCTTCTGACTCCATAACTGGAAGCATCTTTTGAAACTTTTTTGACAATATTGAGTCTCTTAACTGGAGGTAGTTGCTGTAATGCATGAATGCTAACAAAAAGAAAATTATAAAAAAAAAAAAAATTTAGATATTATTATATGTGATTGCTTTTTATAGTAAGATTTGCAAAAATTGAGAATATATTTAAAAAAAAAAAAAAAAAAAAAAAAAGAGATATAAAAATGTGTTAACTAAATATTTCTACACACATTATGAATTTTTTTCTTTTAACATATAGTTGGGAATATATTTGCATAATAGGGACAATAAATACAGCAACATGACATTTATTCTCTTTCTTCTCAAATGGTCAAATGTGCCTCATTTTGATTTTTTTTATAATTAAATGCAATTGTTTCTTTCATGTCATAAGTACTTTTCTCATCTCTGCAATTTAAAGGAATACACAACAGACTTCAAATCAGAATAAAGTGATTGATATTTTGCTTTAAACTCTTGGAGTTTGACTTTGAAACTGGGAAAAATAAGAACTTGGAAACAGTGTACCACATGTTATGGTTGTCCCACTACTATGTAGAAAGATTTTGCACACATATTGTATATAAAGCAGCAACCCATCTATAGTTAAACTAATATATGTTGCTGTTTTGATTAGCATATTCTATACTCTTCAGTTGATACAATATTCTATTCAGATCATTTGTAATATCTCTTTCAAAAGATTGGAATATTTCAAGTGATTATCATATTTGTTGACTATATTTTCTTATAATTACAGCTAATACTAATAGATGCTTGAGTTTTCTCCTATGAAACCAACTGGTAGATATCTACAATCCATTATTATGTTTCAATGACAAATGCCATAAATCAACTTTGTCTCATGTTTTCCACTGACATAAAGTAGCACAATTCTATTGAATTAATTATTAGGTCTGCTGCTAAGATGATCAACTCACTGTGTCATGCCAGACAATTTTTCTCATCAGAATCCATTTTGCATATTTATAAATCTACCATTCATCCATGCATTTAGTATTGCTGCCATACCCAGTCTGGTGCTCCAGCTATATATCTCCAGATTCTTGACAAAATCCAAAGAAGAGTCTGTATTGTTATTGATCCTAACCTAGCATCTCAACTTCAGTTTCCCACTGCTGTGATGTGGCTTCCCTCTGTCTTTTCTATAAATATTTTCATGGCAGCTGTTCTGTCCTTCTTCGTACATTGATCACATAAATTTATGCAGACTACTAGATTGGCAACTAGGTCTCATTGTTTTACTGTTGAAATAGCTAGATGTACTATTAGTTCTATTCTAATAGTTTCTTTACTTGCATTTCTCACCTGTGGGGCTCTCTTCCGATTGCTTTCCTGTCACCGACAATCTTTAAAATTTAAATGCAACATCAATTGTCATCTTCTGTTACCAACAATCTCATTCTTTTATCATTCTTTCTTGCCACTAAAGTCTTCTCATTCTCTTCCAATTCCAGTGACCCTTTGCGTCTTTTCTGCATCAGGTGACACTTTAATCAAACTCATACCCTCTGTCAAGGTGATACTTAATATTAAGCTTTTCCAAACATATTTTCCTAAACTATGCTGTTCAGACTCCGATTTGATATCTTCAGGGTGGAGAAGCTGTGATAACAATGAAAATGATAATAATAGTTTTGCTTGTGTGATGTAATTAGGGGTTTTGCTCTAAGTCCCTCGGCAGATATCCACCCTGTTGCTAGAGACAATCAAGTTTTGTGAAGAATGAAAGGGACCTATGAGTTTTCATATCAGAATGAGGTCAGTGCAGCAGCAGCAGTAATAGTTTTATTCTTTATTGTAGAGGGAAAGAGATCAACAAGGAAGATGCTAGATGCAACAGAAGCAGTCATAGCAGCAACCGTAGCAGCTAGCATCTGTACACCATTAGGTGTGTCTTGAGTATAGATCTCCATCTCTCAAATGACCAAAAACTGCTCTGCCCCATCCACTATATGAGTGAACACCTTAAGGGGTGAGGGAGACCCCAGAATGTACTTATTTCCTTGAGATGTCCAGGTCACTTGTGATACTTGGTAGCCAATCGTGATTCTGTAAAGCCTTTATATATTGATTCTTTTTGCTGCTCAAGATTGTAAATGTCCCTGCATGTGAGATTTTAAGCTGTATTTAGATGCTTATACACACATACAAAAAAAAAAATTTCTCACACATGCACACACACACACACACACACATTATATATATATATATATATATATATATATATATATATACACACACACACACACACACACACACACACACACACACACACTTCTATGCTTTGTTCTTCCACCCACACATATAAATAGCAGTTATTCAATCTCCATATTGAATATTGTTATTGTTTTCGCAGGAATAGTAGTCACATATTAAACTTGATTTCGTAATGCATATTTACAATATAAAAACACACTTCTATAGGCTTAATTTATAAGCAAATAGCAAAATGAGTCTATTGACCGTTGTACTGTTTTTACAAAACAACAAGCATACTGAGGTAGCCCCCTGTTCTATCCATATTGCTACACATGCTATAGATTTTGTGTTGGGAATAAACTGTGTAACATCATTACTTTTGATATAATGTTATCAAATATTGTGAGAAAAATATGTTGCATGTATTGGTTTCCTTAACACATTTTTTTTTTTTAATATGAACAGATCATTATAGAGTATTGAACAAAGGAATAAAATTTCAATATATTTAATTATTAAACATCAAAAGTAAAAATAATGTATAAAATTTTGTAATATTGATTGATGAACAGGACTACCTAACAAATTTATAACTTTTCCAGAAAGAAAAATTATCTTGGCAATTTCTTTCAGGAAATTTACCAATTAAAAATTACAAATTTTCCACTATTTTTTGTTACAATTAACTTGCAAGCTCATGTAAATGAAATGCAATATTAGTAAATGTACAAAAGTCATGCACACATTGCTGCTGCTGCTGCTTTTAATTAGCTTAGCAAGAAACAGTATTGATCCAAAGAAATCTGATACTTCAAATCACACATTTCTGACACAAACCATCTCCACTTTTTCTGTTTAATTATGGTCAACTGTTGTCGTGAATCCCACCTTCACATTTATATAACTATACAAACAATAGGTTACAATTCTTTTTCTCATCAGAGAATTTCTGTATAGGTATTTGTTATTATTTACATTTTATAATCTAGCCATCTTCTTTTCAGAAAAATAACTGCACCTAATCTATTCTCTGTGAATTAAAAATGAATTCAATAAAATGATTTAAAAAAAAAATTCATTAAACTAAATAGCAGTAATTACTACTGTCAACTAGAATTGAAGTGGTATCACAGTACAATTGCAAAACAACTGATTGTAATAGCATATTTCAGTGCAAATAAGGTTTGAATTCTAATTTTTGTGACTGATAAATCACCACCCCTATATTTTAGTAGCCTCTTAGAATGACTGCATCAAATCATAACACCAAGAAGGAATACCAGACCAACAAGTTTTGTTTACTCAGTCCTGCATTTGCTTGAAATCATGATGCATTATTGGGAAGTTTGTGTCACTATTTTCTTCTTTTTTTTTTTTTTTTAAATATCTCAGTGCTATTTCTGGTTCAAATTTCAGACACACACAAAAATAAAGTCTCTTTTTAGTCTAGCAAATATAAATAAAACTTATGAATAATGTGCAAGGTAAATAGTTTTTACTGCATTTAAAATATGACACCTCAACTTTCAGTAAATTTTACTCTTCTCTACAGTTATACTTGGCAGGTTTATTTTTGACAAACATTTTTTTTTCATATTTATGAGTCATTGTTTTATATAAGGTGTGTATATGTGTATGCTTTTTTTTATTCATGTAGACTACTAAATCATTGATACCGAAAATGTATTTAAGGTAAGTGAAAAGAACTTTCAGGATAATAAATAGTTACATCATTCAATAGAAGCAATGATTTTATAAGACTTGAAAATATATTAATAAACTGTTTCACTACAAGTTTTATACTATAGTTGATGGGATATGTATTAAATGTGATAGTTTATAAAATCTCATGAAATTGAATTTATTTTCTTTTTCAGCTCTATGACAATGCCATGATCAATGCTGGACTTACAGATGATCCCAGATCTATGGTTGGACGACTCAATGAACTTCTTGTAAAAGCACTAGAGAAAAATTGAAAAGAAATTTAGGTGTTTCCATAGTTTCTATCAAAGTAGGTTATTTTGGACTTTTAGTTAAGAGTCTTAGCTTCCTAAATTTATATTTTTTACCTCATTAACTATTTGCATTGTATTTACTTATAACCTTTTCCCTGTTAAAAGTTTTTGCTACTATGATTGTCATTAATGATAATGTTAGTCAATAAGTAAATGCCTTTAGTTCATTCATATAACATGAAAGAAAAATTGTGCTTCCTGTTTTAAAAAGTAAAATTTATCTGTAACAAATTTCATATTCTATTGACTAATCTAAAATCCCACATCAGAATAAGTAATTCAAATTAAATTGATCAGGTTATGTTGTTTTTAAGAGTACTAAAGAATTACAAAGCAAAAATTAATGGTTCATTTTTTTTTAAAAATGTTGTATAACAGGAAAAGTTTGATTGAAATGATAATAAATTATGTAAGTCAAAACAAACAGAACTTCTTTTTGCAATTCCTCTACAACCACTTAGAAATCCAGATTTAGTTTAGAAACATTTTAATATTAGTTTTAGAAACATTTTAATATTATCGGTTCTTCTATAAATGTCATTAATCATTGTTACAGAATATATTGCTAAGTTTTGTATGATTGGTTCTTTATTTGCTGATCAAGTGTCAGTTTTAACAATGTCATTGGATGTCTTAATCTACACATTTGTTTGTTTGAAATCATTTATGTTCTGTTTCAATTTCTTTATAGGAAACACAAAATTGTGATTGCAATTTGAGTAACTATGCTGTATTTGAAATAATAAATCTCTTGTACAGACAGTGGTTTATTGTTCTTTTCTTTCATGGTATAATCAATGTTTATATTGTGTAAAAGTATTTTTTAAGGAATATATTCTAACTTTCTGTTGATAAGGGAATTAAATTGCTAACAAGATTAAAACTTAAATGATTAAAATACTAATAATTGCATAACAAACTGATTTGTTTTTGTTTTTTTTTACAACATAACACTTTTTGTGGGTTATTTAAAGCTAAAACATATTTTGGATTGTAAGAATAATTATTTTAAGAGTTTTTTTGTGAATGAATATTGCATTAAGATTTTTTTTGAGAATAACAATTTTTCAGATACAATTTAACCCGTATCTGGAGGAGGAGGAGGAGATCAATTCATACCTTACCCTTCTTGTGTGTAAGTGAATGTAATGAATCTGACTGAAATTAGAACTCAGCTCTCTGATTTCTCATTCTGAGCTACTATCCATTACACCATCCACACATCCTGCATAAAAGGCACTTTATGTTTACACCCAAATATTTATCATTGAAATAACTAAAAATAAAAAAAATAAAAAATAAACAATGGTCTTATTTAAAATGTTCAAACTTGATATTATTTTAAACTCAAATCCATGTCTCAATGAATGAAGTTAACAATTTTACACCTCTACATGTTACACTTGAAAAATGAATCAGCTCATAACACAGCCTTGATTATGCTATTCTTTTGCTAGTTCAAACCAGATATATTTTTATAATAATTCTAAGAGACGAATTTAGTATAAGACTGCCTGCCTATTCAAATAGTTGAATAGTTTGTATTCCTTTGTACTAGCAATGAAAAGTGTTTGGTTCAATAACTTTATTTCATTTTAATGAATCTTACAGGACTTATGAAATTTCAAAAAATTCTGTTTTGCAGCACTTAATGTTTATATTAGCTATAATGACAAGTCCTCAAAATTTTAAATTATCAAATATTTTTGGTAAACAGGACCCCCACTTACAGAAAATCTGCTCTGAATTGTGAAATAAAAATTAAATAAACTAAGACATTATTTAATTAGAAAGGCTTTTAACTGCTTTTATGAATAAAATATATCCTAACACAAAACGAGTTTACCTCCTTAAGAAAAAATATTTTTACTGAGTAAATTTATGCAAGAATTGTTTTCATTTTTGTTTTTAATTTTACTTAGAATATAAACTTTATATTATAAACTTTTAACATTCTGTATTAGTTTGTAGCAGTTAAGTGATATTGTTATTAAAAAAAAAACTATTTATTAATCATAAATGGAAAATCTTACTACAATTCAGTGACCACGAATATTTAAAAAAGAATTTTGAATATAAACATGCCTATTTTTGCAAATATGAACATCAATACATGACATTATCAGAAAATAAGAGCAGTAAATTTAAAATTTATTGGTAATTTTCTAGCATTTCTTCAGCAACTGTTCTTGTAAGTAATGCCAAAGTATCTAAAATTCAATAAAATATTAGAATGCTTAAAATATTTTTAATATTACTGTGTAATTTTTAAAAAAATGATAAAAGGTGTTTACATTGTATTTGTCATTTGTAATTTTATTACAATTATCTTCTTACATAAATTTTCCAAACATCAGGCTGTCAATAAATGTGTTAACACCTCATAAAACACCCACCATTGTGTTAAAAATACTTTTTTTGTGATATTTTAAACTAAACAAAGTAATATTTGTTTCAATCCAGTTTAATTAAACTTTAAATCAGGTAATTTTTCTCAAAAATATTTCAGAAAATTATACTTTATTTTTGGAATATTTTTTAATTGAGTGAATTATGGTGTCTTGATAGATCTGTCAATATGGATGATTTTATAGATTTTACTAATAATCAGAAGAAAAAAAATAATTCCAATCAATTTAAAATTTGAAATATAGCAAAGTATTTTGTTTATTGGAAATATTAAATTTAATCTGTTAGCTTAGAATTAAAACTAAACTAAATGATTTTTCATTTTTTAAAATGCATTTTAAATGTTTTGTTTTTTGAGTGGGGTGATATCTACATTATGTCAATGTTTTCACAATAGAAATGGTATTAACAAATTTATGTTGGTAAAATTTTTCAGAATGTGTCTATATAACTATACCATAAATTTTGATTTATTTATTAGAAATATTTGCAACCATTATTTGATGGTGGGAGATTTTTATTATGCAACTTGAAGGTTTTTCATTATGTAAATAACAAATATATAGAATAGCAATTTACTAAATATTGTTTAGACGTTGTACAAGTGAGGATCAAACTCACTAAATTGAGCTAGTGAGACAAGCTTGCTAATCGTTACATCACATTGAAGTGCTCAATATATATATATATATATATATATATATAATGTTAATATAGTTATTGATATTTGTTTTAATTTTAGATAAATATTACCACGAGCTGTAAGAAAATCATAATCTCAAAAGAGAAACGATATTATCAAGTTACTGAGCGATATGAACATTAAATTGAAAATAACAAAAAAATTTAAAGAGAGATCATAGAACTATAAAAAGAAAAAGAAAAATGAAGACATTGATAAGAGAAAAAAAAACTGGCTTTATGAATATTAAAAAAAAAATGAAGAGTAGCTAATAAGAAAAGTGGATTCGCCAGCAAGAAAATATTAGAAGTTGGTCTTACAAATCCAAACAGAGAAAAGATTCAGAATATCAAAAACATTGGTTACTTTCATGTCTTTAGCCAAACTATCATCTTTAAATAAACACACAAAAAAAAACTGATTTCTTAGCAGTAGTTTTTAATTAGGACTGTAGAGCAATTATTGCTGAACCTGATGGTTTGTTGAGAAATTAGGTCTTTCATGGACTCAACACAACTGAGAAAATAACAGAGAGACAAGATATGGACTAATAAAGGTCCATTGATCATATCAAGATAAATGCAGAGAACTGCAAGTTTTTAGAAACTCATGCAAGACAATGTTTCTTCACTTTCTACTGACTATTGCCCTCTTTGCCAAAAAAGTTTCAATAACACCAAATTTAATTGTACTCACACTCTCCAGAAATAGAAAACACATGAATTATCATTAAAAGAGATGTATATGTGAATGGAAAATAATATTCAAACAAAAAATATCTCTGGGAAGCAATAAAAATGTTAAAGGTTGAAAGAAAATCAATAAATGAAGGTTATAGAATGTCAAGGAGCCATGGAAAATAAAATAATTTCTTCAGGTATAGGAAATATTGTGTTAATCAAATGTTTCTCTGGTCTATATCTTTTGGATTTATTTATAAATAGAAATTTATATTGTACTAAGATTTTATTATGCAAATAACACCTACAAAACAAATTATCAAAATTTTAATCAGGATATTATAAATTGAAACTCACATGTTATATTGTGTCCATATAAATATGTCCTGATATTATTATTATTATTATTATGTGTATAATCACTACTACTGAGTTTGGGCTCAGCTTTCTTTGACTAAAATATTGTCAGCACAGAAATTTTACAAAAATGTTTTAACCAAAGAAACATTTTAAATTTATGAAATAAGTAGTTAACCTACAATTCCTCATTTTTAATGTATGTCACAACTTTTGAGATGAGGGATTATCATTCCATTCAGACTTGTTTACTTGTTATACTGAAAATGTTTCCAACATTATACCCTCCTGTCTAATTCCAGTGTCTGCTATACATGGTCATCATCTTGAATCAAACCCTTTATTCAATCCACAGGGACAGATTGTTGTTCTTTCATTTACAATAATTAGAGAATATCTCCTATCAGTTAAGTTTAAAGTGCCAAAATTACATCATTGGATTGTCTAAGAGACACATAACCTAGGAGATTAATGTGCAAGTTAAAACATGTCTGATTCCCTTTCACCTTTGTGTCATTTGTCTGTTTATCCCACTGAACCAGTTGATATGACTTTACCAGGCATTAATCTCACAACTTCCAAAGAATCAGACATATTTTGACCAACATTTTAATCCACAAGGTTATATGTCTCTTTGACAAGCCAGTAATTGTAGCACTATAAACTTAATATGTGGAATCCAGTTGAAGTATCTTTCTTTTTTTTTTGTCCAATTTTTATTATCTTAGTTAATGCAAATGTAAAAAGCAGGTCAAAATTCTAAATTAGTTCACCCATACCATAAGTCATTTTTGCATCAACAATTTTCTTTTTCTCTATACAATTAATTCTATTGTTACGTATAGGAAATAATTTTGCTTTTCAAATCATTAAAATTAAAAATATCAAAGTTGCTGCAAAACAAAATAAATGAAAAGCAAATTATTAGTAACCTGATCTCTATTTACTAATGAGATATTCCATTATTCTAACACAAAACATGTTCACCTCCTCTTACAAAAGAATATCTCATAATCTCAAATAGGATATGTAGCCAATGAGTATGTTTAATGTTAGAATAGATACTTGTTTGTTTTAGAGTTCAAAGTTACATTTATTTACAATCTACATGTTAAATTGTCTGACACAGTTTTAAACATAAAAATTACATGCTGTTGCATACAAAGTTCCAAATATCTATTCTGTATTAACATTTAATCACAATCTTCTAGGTTAAATTTTTTGATCACAAGAGCATACTGTGAAAAAAAAAAAATTCCAACAAGACTTAAATTTACACCTACACCTTGAAGAAGCCATTTTTCATTGACATTGCTTCAAGCACTTCAGCTATAGAAACCTTGATTCTTAAGTGGAACATAATTTAATCATTCTCCACTCGCACACTCCTCTCTAATTTTCAGCACTTTGTTGGTGTTTATTTTTTAAATGCCATGTCCCTTCAGGGCATAAGTGATTATGGTGCTTCACAGATATCTTTTATTATTATGTGAATTACAATAATTTCTTGAGAAAGATAGTGAAGTGGTTTCTCAATGACTTCTCCAAAATTTTGAATTGAGTGTTGCCTTCTCCATCAAGGCTTGCCAAC